TTTTTTTAATGTTCGTCATATTTGAAGCTGAGAGGAGCAGCGAGTGGATTCTAACTGTTGGCATTAATCGTATTAATTGTCAAGTGCCAAAAATTAATCGGTTAATGTTTTTCTGACAATTAATCACACACGATACGATTATGCCCAACCCAATACAAAACTAAACAGTATTTTTACAGTCTTTATTTTACAGTTAAAATTTATGTTTATCAAATAAAGTCTAATGTTACAACTAGTCATGGATCCTTTTAAGTACGGGAACAAAGAGTATTTGTGAGTAACTGGTGTTATAATTGAGGGCCACACTGGGCGACGCGTTTCACACCCAAYTCCAGGTCACTTCTTTATCAGCAGTGATCGGTTTATTCTGTTTCCACTTTCCATATTTTTACATTACATTAATTAAGACACAGACTGACCAGGTTCAAACAGTTAATACGTGCATGACATAACCCATCATCCATGCAAACAACCAGAGCACCAGTCATGCCCACATAGACACCCACCACCCAAGTGTCAAAGCTACATGCTCACTGGTCACATTATCAGTTTTCTTATTCACTCGTGGCTCTTACAAAGAGTTTATATAAGGATAGACTGAGCCCTGCCCATCCCGTCCACTCTTAGCTTCTGTTGAGAACAGGGAGGAGGGGAACTGATGACCATACAGGGCGTGGGCTCACAGCCCTTATAGCAATTGTTTGATTAACAGCGCTGGATCTGTGTCACAAATAATTTGTAATATTTTTAAAATAAATTAATAATTATATTTCATTCAACCATCCTATAAAACAGTAAGGTAAATACCAGAAAAATATATAATTTATAAATAATAATCTAAATGTTGACAAMCACTTCAAGAGCTTCTCTGAGCTTGATGAGACTTTTTCAAAATATAATACTGACTTAGTTTTATGTTTTTTAGGATCGCCTCTGGAATCCATGGATTCTTTGCCATTTACTTGTAAATAATAAATCAGATAAGTATTAAAGCAGTGGTTCCCAAACCTGGTCCTTGAGGACTCCTGTCCTGCATATTTTAGATGTTTCCCTGCTTTGACACACCTGGTTTGAACGAATGAGTGATTAACTGTCTCCTGAAGACCTGCTGAATAGCAGAGAAACAAGAAAAACATGAAGGATAGGGGTCTTTGAGGACTAGGGTTGGGAACCACTGGTCTAAACCAGAYCTGAAGTCAATCAATAACTTGGACATTTAACTAGTAGTAAAATGTATTTATTATTTCTTACTGTCATTAATAAAAATACATATTTACCAGTTGACACATAAATGTTCACTGCATACCTGGTTATAGGATGAAACTAGWCTACATATTAGCTAACCATCTTAAACAGGTCAGGGTTGTCTAATAGAAATCTAAAAATAGTTAAATATATAACATGATAGTGTAAATATTACATAAACTAGAGGCAAAACCAGCTTGTAATATTTAATAGTTTCTGCTAAATCGTTGCATGATTCAGCAGAGTGCTACAGCAATGTGCTTCAATAATTACCAGTCATTAAATTAGCTTCATAAGCTTATTTTAATTTTAAAATGTTACATCAGGGCTATCCAACTAAATTGCACTGGGGGCCACAGTTAGTGCAGGCCAACAGCTGAGGGGCCGAACATCCAGCAATT